CGTGGGCGCCTGCCCCTTTGCACCCGCCGCATTCGAGAAGGTGTCAGGGTTAAGGAGCAGCAGAAGGGGCTGGAGGTGGAGGAGAAGGGTCCCATCCCCTGCGCCCCGGGCGGGCGGCTGGCAGAGAGCTGCAGTGATTCACTGCTGCAGTGTGAGGATGGCCTGACTTTTTTCCATGAGACAAGAGCGAAAACTTGCCACTGTTTGTTTTCTCTGTTCCCGGAGGAATCACAGCAGTGGCCCCCCCCCACCCCAAGAGGAACCGAGCCCTGGCGAGTGGTCAGGGCCCCTTGAGATGCGGGGTCAGGGCAGCATCTGCCCAAACCTTGGTCAGACGTGTCCAGGTCCCCCAGGGAAGATGCTCCATCATAGCCTTTCCCATGTGTATTGGAATTCCCTTGGCTGTGACACAGCAAATTTATCCGTGCCCTGGTGATGCTAATGCTAATGGAGGCTGTGTGGGTGCCACCATCGGAGGCAGCCCCGCACCCAGTTCAGTGGTCCCCTATGGCTACCGTGTCCCTGCCTGCAACCTTGGAGCACTGTCCCCCAAGCAGCCCTCCCTGCCCTGGGATGTCTCCAGCTCTTGCACTCCAGCAGAGCTGGGGAACTGGAGCTCTTGCTGGTGCGTGGTGGCACCCTGACATCCTCCCACCCTACCTGGAGACATTGGCTCCCTGTGGTGCATGGAGCTACATGTTCTTGGGCAAGCACACGGTCATGAGCAGGTTGGGGCTCTGCAGGGCTGCAGCTGGTGGGGCAGTCCCCAGCGCAGGCTTGGCAAAGCCATGGAGCTGCCCCAGTCCCTCACGATGCTGTGCGGAGGGAGGCCACGGCCCCCTCGCTGGCCTGCGGCAGAGCGCTGGGATCGGCTGCTGCTCCCGCTGGAATTGCTCACGTTAATGAGACAGCTCAGCCCTTGGCAGCAGGGCTGCGGCACGAAGGAATTCAATCACAGCAGCTCACTCTGCTCTGCCGGCCGCTAGTCATAACAAGTGCTGGGT